ACCCCACATCAGACATACATAATCATTTTTACTTCTCCAAAAATAAAAATAAAGGTTTCATAGTAGAACCTATACTCTAAATTCGACTAGCTTCTATCTTAATGACCTTCACCCAAGTCTTACAGTCAGACATATTATTTTGAATGACTACAGCTTCTCTTAAATCCCGACAATTTTTCTTATGTCCTTGAATTGGATCTTTTTGCTACTTTCTACTGATTAACATTTTCAAGACCATCCATAGCAATCCACTGAGGAACACTGACAAACAATCAGTTCCAGTCTCAGGGTAATGATACTTCACAGTGTATCTGTTCATTCAGGAAAGTCTGGTTTCACTCAGCTCCCCGTCTCCTTCCACGGGGACTGTCCGGGTTCGCTGTCCGTGGTGCTGAAACCCCCCAAACAACTGTCCATGGTCCTGAAAAACTCAAACCAACAACCACCACTTCATACTTTTTCTGTCCTTAAATTGCTTTAGACAGTGTGCAGACATGTGTGCTCTTTATATATATATACCCATATCTATCTATCTATCTATCTATCTACCTATCTATCTACCTATCTATCTATCTATCTATCTATCTATCTATCTATCTATCTATCTATCTATTTATCTATCTATCCATCTATCCATCTATCTCTATCTGTCTGTGTTGACTGTTGGTGTTGGTACTGCAGTGTTTTACGCTCACATGGGTGGGGGTTAACTTTCACTTGCAATATACCGCTGTACCAAAGGCTCGAGTGAGAACTCTGTAAACCGTTGCAGAAACATCGCGGGTGTGTTGAACGCAGCCTGCACAGTAACACCAACTACAGTTACTTTCATTTTTTCATCCTCCTCTCCTCTCGCGATAGAGCGGCAGAGTGCTTTGACGGGCAGTCGAGGTTGCAGCAGGCAGAGGGAGACGGTGGAAGGTAAAGCAGGGAGGCAGCATCATGGCGGACAGAGACAGTGGCAGTGACCACGGTGGGCCTACCGCAGGCCCCGGCTCGTTGCCCCCGGGCGCGACGGGCGCCATGTCCAGGCTGCAGCACGACACCGAGGAGCTCGCCTCCAAGCGCGTCGACATCCAGAACAAGCGCTTCTACCTTGACGTGAAGCAGAATGTGAAAGGCCGCTTCCTAAAGATAGCCGAGGTCGGGGCTGGGGGAAACAAGAGCCGCCTCACTCTCTCCATGTCGGTCGCCGTGGAGTTCCGCGATTATCTCGGGGACTTTATCGAACATTATGCTCAGCTGGGCCCGTCCAACCCGGACATTGTGCAGGATGAGCCCCGGCGGGCGCTCAAGAGCGAATTCCTGGTCCGGGAGAATCGGAAATATTACATGGATCTGAAAGAGAACCAGAGGGGGCGGTTCCTGAGGATCCGACAGACCGTTAATCGGGGGCCCGGATTGGGAAGCGCGCAAGGCCAGACCATCGCTCTGCCGGCTCAGGGTCTCATCGAGTTCCGCGACGCTTTGGCCAAACTCATCGACGACTATGGCGTGGACGAGGAGCCGGCGGAGCTGCCGGAGGGCACCTCGCTCACGGTCGACAACAAGCGCTTCTTCTTTGACGTGGGCTCCAATAAGTACGGGGTCTTCATGCGGGTCAGCGAGGTAAAGCCCACGTACCGGAACTCCATCACGGTTCCGAGCAAAGTGTGGTCCAAATTCGGCAACACCTTCAGTAAATACGCGGATGAGATGAGGAAGATCCAGGAGAGGAGTAGAGAGAAGCGGGCCTCCGAACTGCTGCCAGAGGGCCCGCACGGTGGAGACGACGGCGACGACGACTGACGTGGATTTTGGGAGAGCAGAGATGAAACGACGGACTTTTAACTGTAAAATAGAAAGATAATTTCCAAGGGAATCACCCCACACACACAACCTCCACAGACATGGCAGCACCTCTGCTGTCTCCTCGCTCATTTTACCGGATGACACCCCACTTACCACCCATGTAACAGTAAGCCGCTGCTATCAAGGATTGAACTGTAAGATATGAACTGTTTCCTACTTGATTTAAATGACAATGAACAGAGTGTTTATATCTCTATCAACGACAGATTTTGCACACATCAAAGCTATTTCGAAAAAAAATGTTTAAATGTTTTCAAACTAGTAGTATGTTAAAATTTAATCAAAAATGAAACCAGAGGTCTATTATTGTAATGACAGTAGAACGAATATTTGACATCAGCACAAAGAGAATATATTATGGACTTTATGAAACCAAAATCAGATATCAGATGTATAGTTTATTATAAAGGTACGCAGAATAAATATGAAAGCGCTCTCAAAGTGTATGAATTGCAGAAGGCACTACAGGCCTGTAAACACCTGTCTGCATGCGTGTAGGCTCCTATTTTGATGAGACATTTGGCGAAGTAGGCTGTAGTCTTTAATTTGACCTAAAACGTAGTAGGCTAATTAAAGCATTTCTATCATGCCATTATGGAAAGGTCGAGACTCAAAATCAATTTTGCGCGCCTAAACAAATGGGATACACCTATCTCTGAGCTACTATATTGAATATCAACCCTCTTGCACCATGTCCATGTAAACTTAAAGAAAAAAAAAGTGCTAACTTAGATGTACTAATTATGATTTTGTGAATCAGCTGTAAAAAAAATCCTTATTAAGATACCCACGTTTTCTGTGGGTTAAGTTGTTTCTTTCTTACTTTGTTGTTTTTCCTCTGGGGTGTTGGGGGATGCAAAAGGGTAAGGTCCACTTGTGGGATCGCAAGTCGCGGAAACAAAAAAAGAGACGCGTCAGCGTAGCGCGCCGCGAGGCAACGCATCCTCTCTGACATTACGACCCGTGCCTTATACACTCCACTCGTTTACGTGTTCTCACGTGGATGGTCTGTGACCTTGACTGCTGTACGTCTTCATTTACGAGTGCTGTTATGTAGGCAGAAATATATTCTCACCATCGCCGCAGGATTTACACCCCTGCAGTGCATGGTGCATGGGTGGCAACACCAAAAGGCGAAAGGCTGCTGGGAGCGTGGAGGCCAACAGAGGTAGAGGGTGGAAACAAAGCTCCAAGCTGGCAGGCTTGCAGGCCTAGCAGGCCCCGCAGAGAGATGAGGTGCTGGCGTTGGTACACTTTGGAAAAGGGTGGAGGCCTCACTGTGTTATGGCACCCTGGAGCACAGAATCCCTGGCAGCACACCTGGCTGGGTGGCCTCTCCCTGAGCCGAGATAAGTCTCCCTAGAACAGAAAGCAACCTAGGATGTTCCCACCTATGGCAGCACTGGTTGTCAGCGTGGAGATTCCTCTGGAGATGTTACGGGTGGCTTTGCACACCATATGCACCATGATGTAAAAAAAAACAAAAAAACAGCAAGAACAAAAAAATAAGTCAGGAGCGGCTGGATGAGGTTATTTGTCAGAGCTGAGATGGATGCTGTCTAAAGCCAGGCAGTCAGCTAGCCAGCCGGCCGGTCCCATGCAGTCAGTCTGAGTGCAGTCCAGTGTATGTAGAGGCCTAGCAGTGTAGGGCCCAGGCAGTATCTATCTCTTTATGGTGCTACAGCCCCTTGATCGCTTCTTAGGGGTATCACCACTCAGAATATGTCACTCTTGCATTACTGTTATTCTTCTACTCTATTTTTTCGTCAAAGTTCTTTTCTCCACATTATGTTGTCCAAAACGTGTCAGGTTTCTCCCTCCCAGGCAGAGAGGAATCCACTGACTAGTGTAGGACATTTCATCTTAGTGTGCAATATTGTGTACGTGCCAATTGTGGCATTGTATCATGTGTATAGACTATTAAAAGACGAAAAAATGTATAGGCTATGTGATCAGTAGATATTTGAAAGCATGACAAATGAGGTTGATGCATCTTCATTATATTTCCGAAATGTGAAGTCTTTCTTTCAAGCACCTGCTCAAAGTGAAATAAGAGTCAGACTAGTAGTGAGGTATCTTTCCTGTCTTGTTCTGTAAACCAGTAGGCTGCATTGTCTGTCAGTGCGCATAGAGTTGCTTGGGTGTTTTACGTCCCCCTACAGAGTCACTCCAGAGAAAACCTTCTCCCTCCTTCCCCTGTTGAGGCCTCTTGTTGCTCTCTGAGTGTTTGGGAGGCCTCTGAAGTATTTTGAATGGTGTCTAGAACTGCACAAGGCCTCCTCTCATTACAAGCAAGGAAACTGTGAGTTTGGAGCCTGAGTACGACCCCTCTCTTACCTGGGACTGCCGATTTCAGGACAGGTAAACTTCAGTTTGACTTTGACTTGTCTTCAATTTCACTTGAGCTAATGATTAGCTGCAGCAGACCCTAAGGACAGAGGAGTCTGTTGCTGTTTTTAAAACGAGGATTACAATCCCTCTCTCTGATGCGAGCAGACTATGATCTCAGGTCCGCTTGTCAGGATCCAGTGTGCAACAGAAAGGCCCTGTTTCATTGTCCATGCAGCCAAACTGTATGTTACATTCAGACACGCAATGCAGTCCATTACCTCTTTTTGACCTGATCGACCTCTAGGCTTACATTGAAGAGCTAGTTAGCAGTCAACGTGTTTTAAGTGGTAATTCCACCTATCAGCTTTATTTAAAGCAGGTTGACCTACAGTGGCTGATATGACTGAACCAAGTCACATGCCCTGTTAGAGTTGCGTGCCACCTAGCTGACATGGAGGGGAAACACAGACTCCATGGACTACAGCTTCAGCTGGAAAAAGGCTTTTTATGTTGTTATAGCCTGGTTCTCTTTGTGGGATATCTGAGGCTAGACTGAAGCAGAGTTATCCAAAGCACACCTTGTCAAAGAACGTAACAGAAATCTTACTGAACCCTTTCCCTAAAATGTTCTGTGTTTGATCTGTGCTTGACTGGTCATGCCTGTGGCATTAGAGCCAAGAAAAATGTTCCAGAAAATCCCATCTGTTCTTCGCAAGACTTTTTTTGGCCCAGGTTTGTCTCTGAGTGTTGGTGAAAGGCCTGATGAAGCCTGGCACTGCACTGTAAGGGCTTACAGCAGCATTCTACCATGACCTACTGACCTGGCCAACAGACAGACCCAGTTAGGACTGTTCTCAGTTCTGGAGAGGAACAGGAAATCTCTTTCTCCTCTTGCACAGAAGATTATATTTCCTCACTTTGCCCTGTGAATGTCAAAAAGGCCATTCCCATTAAACTCACGTACAAGCCACCTATGACTATGTGCCTGGCAAAGCACATCTGAGGTCATTCTGAGTTCGTCTTTAGTTCAGCACGAGTGTGGAATCTGTTGTGAACATTCTACCTTTAGCTTAAATCCATATCAGCCTCCAGGAGGGTCATGCTATATAACGACCAGAATTATAATACTTCCTGTTTCTTTCTCTCACCCTAATGGCCAAATATAAGGAGAGCCTCAGTCTGCTCAAAGAGTTCACTTTGTGATACCTCACTCTGTGACACGCACACTTTTAAAAAACAATTGGAAAAGATGTGTTGTCTTGTTATAGACTGTAATCGCCAGGTGCTACTGCATCAGTCATGTTTTTAGTGCAGAATGATTCTGTTATGAAACATGACTCATCCATTTTGGGTGGAGGAGGGCACTTGTGATTTTGCCGAAAACAATGTGATCAAATCTGATTTCTGAGTTTATGAGCGCTCACCCGGTGTCACAGCAAAACCTGCAGTGACCTTGCAGCCATGTTGTGCTCACATTGTCATCCATTTCTGGGACTCAAATGCAAAATGGTAGGCAGATGTTTTTCATCTTGTTTTCCATGTGAAGCGTCAGTAGTCCAGCTGTGTACTGTCCTCAGTGGCTCTGGCTAAGTTCAGCGTATAGGGGTGATGATGCACTGAAGCTGTAAGCATTGACAAGAATGTTGTCATTTATTTTCCATTGGTTGCCATCGTAGCAGTCCTTAATCATGATGTCACCCTGCCTTTTGTCTGTTTTTGCTGCAGTGTTCATTTTGTCGAGTTTTATTTAAAGAGGTTATTATTGTTGCTCAAGGTGACCAGACCATTCCTTGCATGTTTCAATAAATGGAAACAGATAACAAATTAAATGGCAGACATAATTCAGTGCAATAGCAACAGTAGCCACTTGTTGCATGTACTCAGAGTCAGGTTGCAATGGTGGCTCCCAGCTGCAGGTGCTTTGTCTGCTTGTTCCTCCTGTCTTTAAGAGGGAGGTTATCTATGTTTATGATTGCATTCAAACAGCCACATGTTCACAACTTATAACAGCAAACTTCCACAAAAATACAATGTGGGTGGTGACCACTGACAAAACTTCCATTTAGGGGTCCCAGACAACCAAATCTTCTCTGTTTCTGGTTTTAGTGTTGTAGTCTTTCATTGGCCATTCAGAGACCCTGGTTAATCACACAGCCAATCGCAGCCTCTGTTAAAAGCCAAGCACTATATGACTCATCACAAACCACTGACAGAGAAGCTAATTCAGCATGTCTTGTGTTTGCACACGCACCATGTAGTAGGGTCCATCATGTTTGCAGACTGTATAGGCTACTGTTGTGTATAGTTATAAAGACTTTCTTTCTGATGATTTGAAGATGTTGGGAAATGGATCCTGGATTTCAAGGGGTGGGGTCAATGCACAATGAACATATCCCATGTCACAGTTTGGTCTAAATCCCTTTACCATCCCCATATGAGATAATATGTTGTATCTTTCAAAAATGTTTTATCTGTGGCGTGTGTGTGTGCGTGTGTGTGTGTGTGTGTTCTACTCACTTACTTTGCGTGGTTCATGCCATCTGAAATATTGACACAATATAATGCTCTGCTCCCACGCCTCAATGCATTCTTTATAAATAGAGTCCTGGTGCTGAACACAGCTGGAGAGCTCTTCTGAGAGCACTTGAATTGACACAACACAAAGAAAAGCGCTCTGCCCTACTCCTACATTTAGCTGGCAGGCCTTACAAAATAGTTAACAGAGTGAGTATTTAAAGTGCAGATGGCTTTGATATGATAGTTACAGCAAATCAGCTTTAAAGAGACAGCATTGTTGAGGAAAACAGATTTGGAATCAGAGTTTATATTAGAGTTTGCACATTAGTGGTTCAACTGATCATTCGTTAATCAGTCGCAAAACCAATTCGATTTCAATTCAATTATATTGTATTTGTAAAGCAAAAAATCACAACATAAATGATCTCAAGGCATTTAACATAGTGAGGTCAAGACTTTACAAGAGACCTTGAACCTCTGTCAGACTTATTATTAAAATAAAAATAGTGATAATCTCCAGAGGATGGATGCAAATGACTTTGGTGATCATCTGACCATGAGGTGTGTGTGTGTGTGTGTGTGTGTGTGTGTGTGTGTGTGTGTCTGTGTGTCAGAAGGTTTACTAAAGTAAATTGCATGATAAAGTAGTGCTACACCGATATTGTTCTTTTTTTAGTTGGTATAAATGTCTGAAAACTGTGATAACAACCCTCCTATTTCATGTTTAACCTCTCCTCACCCCTTCTAGAATATTTCTTACTGAAATATGGCCTTTCCTGACTACATGATGATGGTGCTTACTTTGGCTTTGACATCAAGCTCATCCTATACATCTCAACGTCTTCATAACTCGCGTCCTCACACTTCATTACTTTCTGTTATGTACTCTCGCTACCTTATTAAATTTTTCTGTTGATGGCAAAAAAGGTGTGCTGTTTTGTACATTGCTCTTTGTTTTAATGTTGGGGAGCCTTGTCTGAAAAAATGACTAATCGCGCAATAAAGTCATTCCACATGTGCCTGTCTCTGCACAACTGTCTCAACACTGTACAGTCATACAGGTACACACTTAGCAGGGCTGGGCTCAAAAGGTAAAAAGTTAAAATGTCTTATATACTGTCACAACAGCCATTTCTACTTAACTTAAATTGAAGCATTGTTATGTATTAAGGCAAAATATATATATGACTGGCATTACATTTTGCTAAATTTTTCATAACTGCTAACTGGCCCCAGTCATTTAAAGTTTCACAAGACGTGACACACCTTCATCTGTGTATGGAAGCTTCTTCACACATTTAATAAGAAATGCACTGACATAACAGGAAGGTAACTACAGACGACTGGATACAAAGATCAGATTTAACCCTGACATCTGCTTTTGACTTCCTTGTGGAAAAAAATACTTCCATATTGTTGCCGTACAGTAGGAAAGAATATACTATTGACAGAATACTATTAACTATCATCAGCCACGGGAGGGTTTCTTACTTCTGCCAGAGGCAACAGGTTAAATGCATCAAAAGCAATAAAAAATAGTGGCACTACACATAAGTGTTATTAGAAGCAGGTTTTGTGGCAGTAGTGTAAGAAACAATTCCAAAGAACAAATTGGGCTAACATTTTTCAGTGGAGATTAGTTTCCGAGCTTGTGTGAAAATAGAAGTTTGAAGAAGTGACTGGTCTGACACATACCAGATTGATTTCAATACAACCTAAGTTGATGCACTCGCAAGAGCAGAGTAGAAAGAATATATAAGCATGGAAGCTACTGTATAAGTTAACATTCTCTGAGGATATCTATCTGTTTCATTTGTCCTTTATAGTCATTCCTTGTTTTGAAATGTGTAGGCTTTTTATAATCACTTGTGCTATATCTAACAAATTTAATTACAATCTAAAGAGAACCAAATATTAGATAAAAGTACATTTTGGGCATGTCTATTTTCTCTATTTTTAAATCACAGAAAGACGTTGTACTCTTGTTCACTTTTAATCACAGTGGAATTTAGGAGGATCTGGATTGGATTATAATATTTATAACTGTGTTGTCATTGATGTAAGATTGAAACTCTGAATCATTGTGTTTTTGTTACCTTGGAATTAGCCCTTCATGTCTTCATCAAAAGTGGTTTCTCTTCCACACAATCTGCCATGCCGCACCACACTGTTTCTACAGTAGCCCAGAATGAAAGCCAAACACTGGCTCTGAAGGGGGTCTTTCCTGGTTTTGTGTTACCTGCAGGCCACCGTAGATTCTCCTACATGTCAGGAAAGGGAGGGTGAAGGGGTTAGATGGTTAAGACCTGCAACCTCACCACTATATGACACTGAATATTACACACTGGTCCTGTAAGCCTGAGGCATGTTGCTTTAAACAATGTGTATGTTGCCATGTTGCTAATTCTCTAAAACTAGTTAGCTAGCAAACTAGCTTCATAACTTCATTTTGGTGGGTTAATGAAAATTATACAAGGTGGCCCTGTCTAAAATAATAAATCCCAATAAATCCCCATCTAAATGTATACATTTTGTCAGCAAGTCACTCAAAATCCTTCTGTTAGAGCACAAGTACAGGTGTAAACATTGATCCATTTTTTCACAGTCCCAAACATTCAGTATCAGTCACACTGATTACTTTACTAATCAACACGTGCAATCAAACCCTGCTTATGAAAGCTCAAAGTGTCTGCTGTACAAACAGCTCTTTACTGAGGTTAGGAAGGTTTACTCAGGATAAATGAGCTAAACTCCTCAGGTAAATCAGCCCTTAGCTGTGGAGTGGTTCCTTTGGTAAAAGTTACACCTAGTAAAAGAATGAAGTAAATAAATCTCACCTGTGTTTCAGGAGGACAGCCACATTTTCCTTGACTCTTAGCATCTCTCATCATCTTCTGTCATTTCATTTAGCAGCACTGTATTTGTTTTAAAACTTTAAAGCTGCTTCATTAAAGACTAAAGCTGTTTTGCTGTCATATTTTAATTACTCCATTACAGAAGGACCCCTGACCAAAGCTAGCTAAACTCTTTTGTGGGTTATATATTTACACTGAGCTGAACAGGTTTGTGCTAAAGCACTTGAGCTTAGCAGGTAGTGGTTAGCCTAGCAACATTACAGGTACATGCAACCCATAATGCAACACTCTCTTAAAGTAACAGTAACCCGCTTTTGTCCCAAGGGCCAGTTCCACAGTGTCATGCAGATTTGAACTCTTAGTTTGTTCCCTGGACAAATTACTGAAGACTTTCTGACAGCACACTTAAAGGATAGTTCATCCAAGACATTTTATTTTTTTTCTGTTATTTTTGTACGTTCGAAGAATCAGTCACCATTTACCTCTATTGTATTGAATTTTTCTGCAGCACTTTTTTCCCCTTGAAACTGCAAAAGTGTTTTGTGGACTCAAACACTTCACCCACCTCCATTGGCATTGTGGTGAGTAGATAGTGGGTGAACTTTAATTTTTATTTAAACTGTCCCTTTAAAATGCTTTCACAGATTGTTGGTTTCATTATTATTTGCAGGGTAAAGATTGATTACGTTGAATATTTTTAATATTTTGATTTTTTTTTTCTGAAACAGAATGTATTCATGCTCAGTCACTAATATACCAACAGTTGAACAGGATATCCGTTTGATAAAGTATATATTTTTCATTTATTACACTCAAATGCTTGATATTGTCTATAGCTTCTGTATATTATGCAAAAAAAATTACAATCCAGAGATTTC